GTTAATGTTTTAGTATTCTAAACATTTTAAACAGGGAAAATCTTCTTATGGGCACTCAATGCTTCAAGTTTGAATTATTTTTTGTTCTATTAATCTTATATTAATATTAATTTAAAAAAGTCAATTATGCATATGCATTAGTTTCCCCGCCAAGTTTGTCTCAAGTGGGTATAACGAAGCGAGAACCCAACTGAGGCAGATTTTTTAATCTGCTTATACACTCGATGTAGCATACACTTAACATGAAGTGAACATTGTTTTCCACTTTTAAAGTTTTCTCGTAAATTTGTAAAGGAGTCTAAAGAGAACTGAAGTTTCACTTACAAAGTCTCGTTAGCGAGAAACAGTGGAAATAATACACAAGATATTAATGTTATGCAATACAGGACTGCTTACTGTTGCATGAAACTTTGATGAAGATAAAAAAACAAAAGTATATCTCAAGGATTAAAACATTTATGCATTCGAATTTTTTACAAAAAGAATCAAATTTTTTCCGAGAAAAATAATTTGCTTGAAGAAACATAATTCGCATCTTTAATCTACTTTTATTTGAGGCTAACAGCATTAATCCTACTTAACTCACTTGGGATTAAGAGATCTCATTTTAGTTAAAAATGTCTTTTCTTTTTGTACAAAATAACATGCAGAGAAACCATAAAATAAAATGGAACTTCGCGGGCCTCATGAAAGACATACAGGTTAAAAAAATGAGAGGAAACGAAAATTAATTCTTTTTACGTATGAAAAGACTTATATTCTTGGTCGGTATATACCCAAATATTGTATTTATTCAATTAAAAATGACTTGATGTTTTTTTGTTATTTTTATAAAAAAAACTACAAAACACAAGTTAATATAATATAATAATATAATAATATTTTACAACCACCACTCCCCATACGGGGCTTTTCGGTGAGGTTCCCTCCACACGCACTACCACTACGTTCTATCTTTATATAAGTTATACATATCATGTCATTTCTGCAAGCATTTTAGAAACCTTTTTAAAATTTCCTAAATATAAGGAGGTTTTCCTATGCGAATAAATTTGAAAATTGTATGAGAGGATTTGATTGGGAATTAACCTATAATCTTCTAAACATTATTGTTCATAGTCACAGGGGAAATGCACTTAGTATTTTTTTGCATAAATCTTTAGCGCCTCAGTGTTTTCACTTCAATAATCACCACATATTTACATAAACAATTTGAAGAAAATTCCACAAATCGTAGTTTAAAATAAACACTGTTGAAGCTAAATGATCAAAATCTTTTAACTTTCCCGCCTTGATAAATCTCAATGTTTAGTAAAGATCGGGGAATTTTTCAAATAAGTTTTTAGTTTTGAAGGGCCGTACTCAAAGATGGTTCATGTTACACTTACTTGAGTTCTCCGGCGAAGATCTTTGATGAGAATCAAATGCAGCTTGATCCAGTTTGTACTTGGTTTGAGTTGGTCCTAAGATATTTGTCTGGTTCATAGTACTTCTAAATCCAAAGAAACACTCTAAGATCCTTTAGTTTGAGTTTAGACTTGCTGTACTTTTCGTGGTCGCACTTGCGTAACTTCATCATCTCAAAACATGTTGGACAAATGATCTGAAAATTGGACTTAAAAAGTTTTTTAACTTGCTTCACATAGTTAAAAGGTTCTTAATTTAGTATTCAAAGTGTAAAGACTACTTTAGATAGTTACGGTTAGTTTAGGGGAGTGAAGCTTACCTAATCATGGCAATTCCTCTCGCTTGATCATGGATAACTTTCCCTAGGATGTTCCAAACTAGTGAACAAGGACAAAACAGAGTTGGAAAGAAAGTCAATCTCGAAACCGCTCATTCACGACAAAGCTATGAATAAACATCAAGTTGTCTTTGAGAAATGCAAATGCGCGGGTGTTCTTTATTTGATTGAAGGGTAAATAAAAGGTCCACATGGTTGACTGCACTAAGGATCTGTTCCTAAGTGTTAACCTTTGAAGTTATCACACTGAATGAATACGCATAAGAAATTAGTAGCGACTGACTTTGTAAACTCCTCTACACTTGTGTTATTCTAGTATTATTTATTAAATATATTTTGTTGTTAAATGTTTATAAAGATATAGTAATAATAATGGCGGCATTTAAGTAACAGTGACAGATTTCCTGAATAAGGGCCAAATGTAAAAAAAGTGTGATAAACTAACAGTGTAAGTATAGGAAAACCCTTAAAGTAAAATAAAAAAGAGATGAGATAAAGAAGAGAGAACAAAGAAAGGAAGAATGTAAGGGACAAAGAAAGAATGGAGGAGAGAGAGAAAGAAAGAAAGGAAGGAAGAAATAAAGAAAGGAAGGAAGAAAGAACTTGTGAAGCCCTTACTTTACAACAAAAATGCATAAAATTTGATAATATAAATGATTACGAATCCAAGTTGCCATTATGACCAAGTATGATAAACCTTGTCTTTTAGAACTTTGCTGGCAGCGGTAAAATTAGCGCATTTCTGGACACTCACGGAAACACAACTTGAAGCATCACAAGTAGGTCTTAAACATGCAAGAAAGCTTTTACAAAGATCAGTACAAACTTCTTACAAAACATTATATTGTGTAATGTGTTTAGAAAACTAGACAAGAATTGGATATTAACACTTCCAGTGTCCATCACTAGGAAAATAAAACAACAACACAATTACTTCTGATATTTTAATGGCTAATCATCGTGGATGTTCACACTTCTTTAACCACTGACACTGGAATTACTTGTCGTCCGTGGTTGCTTTATTTGACGAAGAAACAATTCCCCCAAAACACTAGAATATTTACAGACGATTTCATAAGTGAAATTGAGTCAATACTTGATGAAATATTGTTTCAAAATTTTAACGAGAGTCTTATAACTAACCCCGAAGAACTAAAAGTATTATTTGTCAGGAGCTTAGCTCCCTCGTTAAAGAAATTTTCGCCAAGAAACTTAGGGAGTCGGTATATTTTGAATCGACATTCGCCATCCCTTCTGAAGAATTTGGCGAGAAATTAGGAATACAGCAAAACCAATTGCATGGAAAACATTCTTTAAAGTTGATCGTCTAATTTTCATGGCACTATGGATAAAAGTTCACACGAAGATAATACGAACAGCAATCACGGAGCGACAGACAAAATATCCCCGAGGAACATCAAAAAGGAAACTATTGTACTTCCAAGAATTACAGAAGACCTCGGCTCAGCTTCAACTTTGAGGACAATTTCTCAGCTCAGCTTGACGGAGAATCGATCACCAAGTCCCGTTAAGGGTAATCTTAGTGATGAAGTTCAAAATAGCGGCCAATTTAAGCTGCCAACTTTGGTATTACCGATAAAAAACGATGGCGTTGACGCAGCTGATACTCGAAATGAAGGAAATATAGAAGAAGGCTTTTCCAAGAGCAAACAATCCCAGATTTACGGGGAAGAACTCAAGGATCTTAAAGCAACTATGAAGCAGCTTTGTAGTGAAGGAAGGGACTTGATTCTGGATTATCGAGTAAAAGAAGATGAAGCTAAGAAACGAGCAAACCAAGAGAAGAAGGCAGCGAGAAACGCTGCAAAACTTGCAGACAAAGAGACAACTTCTAGAGCTACGTTCGCTGCCACTGTAAAAACCCTCTCTAAAACAAAAGGTTTGTTGAACTCCATACGAATGAAAAACGAACTGCAGGAACTTAAGAGCATGAATAAGATGCAAATAAATGATGAAAATAAAGATAGTAATGAAAATATCGAGGACGTTGTCAACCACCGCGACATTGATGAAGATTCAATCTCGGCAATTGAAGACGATGACGACAAAAGCTTTGATTTTGATTATTCAGCACATTCTAGAACGGATAGAGGTTTCATTAAGGATGCGAAGAAAAATGGTGACCATGTTAAAAAGAAGGGAATAGGAAAGAAGGAAAAGAGAATGATCAAAGTGGAGAGCATGAATACTATAATGAATGATCCTGAAAGTGCTGAGAAGTGCAGCACTAGTGTTGGAGTTACTCCTTCTGATGGAAACTTCGAACCAAGCAAAGGAAGTAATCAAGTGCGACCAGCTAAAGAGAAAAGAAAAAAGACAAAAACAAAAAGGAAAAAAGTAAATGAAAAAGAAATGAAAGAAAATAGCAAAGAAGACCGAGAAATAGGAAGGAAGAGTAAAGAAAACGATGTAGAAGACAAAGGGAAAAATAATGACAGAAGTCTCATAGAGACGAAAAATTATGAAGATGAAACTGAAGACTCTCTACAATCTTTGCCTCTTGTCGGGCAATACAACATAGGTCATGTAGAACAAGAAAAAAATAGTGATTTAGAAAGTGTAGTGTCAACTTTGGCTTATCGAAGTACCAGCCGATTAAGTCGATCAACAAGCGTTGCTGGTTTGGTTCAAAACAAGGTCAAGGATAAAAAATGGTTGATGGAAAGATTTAGGGTTCCCAAGGAACCGATGGAAGTCGYCCTGCATCTGCAGAAGTGTGGGTTTGAGTATGAATCGGTACAGTTACGAGACCTTGCAGTGTCGAAGCAGAAAGGAGAAGCAAATCTTAAAAAAGCAATTTTAAAAGAAAAGAAAGAAATGAAAGAGGAGCAAAAACGATTAGAAAAAGAACTGAGAGACAGGGAAAGGAAGGAAGCTTATGAACGAAAAATTGAACAAATTCTTGCAATGGAAAACAGAAAAAGAGAACAAGAAGAAAAAGAGAAGGAAGAACGACGAGCTAAAGCTCTAGAAAGAAGAAAAAGTAACCTCGAACTACTTAAAGACATCAACAACACAATTCTTTCCACAAAAACAAGTCCTTCCTTCCGATTTTCGTACGTACCAGTCTTGCCCCAGCCTGTCGCATCTTCTCCTGAACCCGAGGATAAATCGGGCAGCGATATCTCAGATTCAGAAGAAGAGTATGCGCCGACTATAAAGAGATGTGGCTGTCAGCATTCAGGAAGATCTGTGTGCGCAACATTAGATTGCAAATATGGAAAATATGCTCGTACATTAAAGAAAAAAGCATAACATCAGAACGGGCAGATTGCGTTTATGCAGGCGTTGTAGAATTCTATGATTTTGATGTCTTTCTTGCTCTAGCCTTTTGGCTTTTCTCTAACGACGATAGAATTGAACGGTCAGCGAACTGTTTGTCAGTTATCTCTTGACCAAAAAAGTTTTGGAAAATTAGAAAGAAAGAAAACTTAACTATTCTTATAAAACCAAACCGACTTCTTATCTGTCTTTGGACGCTAAAAACCTTGATAGATAATTGAACCAAAGAACTAAATGAAAAATGACGAAACCAAACAAGGAATATCGCTCGTAACGGTGAACTCTTTTAAATCAAACAAACTTAATAAAAGGATATAAAATAATAATTCAAAGTGTGCTAAAACTCGGGAATTTCATAGTCAAAATATTGTTAGGATTTTAGCCCCATTAAGATTTCATCAATAAAAAATGAACTAAAGATACTTCATCGTTTATACATAATATTGTCAACCCATAAGTTGCTATGGTAACAGTAACGTAAACATTCATAAAAAACACTGATTTTTCCTTTTTATAATTACAGTTAAAAATAATATGCAGCGGCAACGATGATCTGTATCTTAATTGTAAGATAAGATAACGGTGATGAGAAGTGTTTTCAATTTTTCTGATGACGCATCCCTGCCACAATTCAGCACGATATAACTTGTGGTTTTCCTAAAGATTTGATCAAGAAAAACAAAATAAAGATGAAATCAAAACCTTCCTTCGACCTTCAAATTTTATCCTTATAAAACAGCCGCTTTGGGCTCATCAAACTTGAAACAAATAATCAATTCGGCATCGATGTCTTGCATTGAAATAGCAGAAATTGTAGTAGATCAATGTTCTTAAGTCTTGGAAAACATTTTGTACCTCGTAGTAATTAGTAATAAAAACACAAGGCAAACCAAAAATGAAACAGAAGAAGCGAAACACAACAACAGCATAAACACTAAAAGAGGCGACTCACACTACCACCACCAAAACAAAGAAGTAATACTCTAGGGAATGACACGTGGTCTGAGATGAAGAGGTTTATAGCCTCTTGGCTTAGTGATGTCCCATTTTAGACCACGTGGCCATTCTCTTGAGTATTATACTAAAATAGCCCCATTTAGATTGCATGGCTCAGCGCTTCCCCCCTTTTTATTATTTATTATTTATTTATTATTATTATTATTATTTTAATTAAAAAATCTTAATATACAAGATATTTCTTTTTGGAAGTTAATACTAAGAGGATAAGCTTTTAATTGGATTCCAATTACAGCGCTTAGTGCTCCCTTATAAGACGTAAAGATGAATAACGAATTATGATTCAAGAGTTTTGTTCCGTAATACTTTGGACGTACATTGCAACAGACCTCCTGCTTAGTCGATCAACCAAACTCATTACCAAAAATTGTTGTACAAAAAATGCATTTCATTCATACCTAAGTATTCGCTCGCTTAAATTCTTTTGGTTCGTGTAGAAGTGCTATCGAAAGTGCATATTAAGATGGATTAAAGTTGGTGTTTTCACAAAAAGGAATGCGATATAGTCAAGACATTTAGATGGCTATGGGGATGACACTAAAAAGTAGTTTGCTTAAATAAGTTGAAACCACAAATTTAATGTTGAAAAGCGAAGAGAGATAAAACATCTGCGAGGTTGGAAACCTTATTGATAACAAACGATAGTAAGGAAGAGTATCTTTCAAGRACAAGTGAGAAAAAATGTCAAGAAAGAATGAGATTCCAGAAGAAGGTGAAAAAGCTAAAGTACATTTACCGGTTGTAGATAATTCAACAGCTAAGGAGAACATCGATTGTGTACTCAATCTTTCTGAAAGAAGAGAAAGTTTTCTTCGACTTCCAACTCTTCAATCCTTCAATGAATTTGATGAGCAGGATCTTAGTTCTCATAGCAGTGGTGAATGCGAAGACGTTTCTGGCTCAAGCATCAACAGTAGTTTTGAAAAGAGTTTCAAAGACTCTCTTCATGATAACGGATCCAGAAACACGTACAGTGTTGTATTGGAAGACAAGGAAGAAAAAGAAATAGTAAAAAGAGTAAAGAAAGAATTCAAACAGGATTTTCAAAATATCAGACAACAAGCTCGCGAGAAGCAGAAATATCTGAGAAAGAAATTCCAGTCGCAAATTAATTCAGCAAGATCTGCGTTACTCCTTGCCCGAGCGAACGCAGAAAGGAAGGCCATCGATAGACTGGAAGAGAAAGCTGAAAAGAAAGAGGCTCAACTTATTGAGAAACGTAAGGAAAGAAGAAATTCGATCCAGAAGGGAAACACAGGAAAGAATTTATTAAGAGAGAGTGTCTATGAGTTGGCAGCTTTGAGGAAAGTTCGAGCAGAGCTGGACCGCGCGCGAGCAAGAAGACGTTCCACCATTGCCTCGACTATTCTAGCATCTCAACGCTTTAGCCTTGGTGTAGTACTAGACTATGAAACTAGAAAACTTGAAAATGTAGAGGAAGTTCAGAAGCTTGTTTACGAATTGCAAAATTTGGGACTGGAAAACGCAGCAAATGACCTTGTTCGTTCTTTACATCACAAGAAGAATTCAGAAGAACAAATGAAAGAGACTTTGAAAGAGGAATGGAAGTATGCGAAGATCAAAGCGATAAACAAAAGAGAAATGGAAATTCATAAACTGAGGCAACAAAAACTAGAAGAAAAAGAAATTATTGAAAGAGAAAGAGCGAAAAGAGAAGAAGAACGTAAACGATTGGAAAGGGAGCGTCTGAGAAGACAGATGGAAGCCTTGAGAAGAAAGGCATTCAATATAAGTATGAGGAAAAGTATGGAGGAATCTAAATTGGTCTCCAGCATCTCCCGGTCTTACACTTATTCTTATTTTAATCCCTTGTAGTGATTTTTAAAAACTTACAAATTCAATCGTCATCGGGGCTGATCAAATTCGGGATACGCCTATAGCTCACAGATTGAACCCTGAAACACTAGCCATAGGTTTATTGGCTAACTCACAGATCGACTGGTTGTATACACCATGCTCAGTCAACAAAAAACTGAATGATAATGACTAGCGGCAACAAGTTGGGACTGCTTGGGTATATTTAATAGAAAAAAGGAACCTTTGCGGGACCATTAAACGTAACTGATGAGAGACGAAGACAAAGTGGACAACATTGTCACAAGTATAAGAAATTGAATATCAAAATATCAAGTGAATAAAAAGGAAACTTTTGGAACGTTGAACGTACTAATGAGAGACGAGGAAAAAATGGAAAACATTGTCGTAAGTATAAGAAACTGAATATCAAAATTAACAGTAGTGCACAGGGACAAATAGTTTTAGTAAAATAACGTGGCCATTCCTTTAGTCTGACATGAAAAGATTTCATTTAATTGATCCTTAAATACTGTTTAGAAATACGAAAAGCTATACGGCCTTGAGGTTCTTGTCCCAAGAAATGATGTCATCGCCCACCGCTGTCGTTCCTGATTTCTGGCTTTTCTCTTTAACACYGCCAAAATTCTTTTCTTTCTTTCTTCTTCTTCTCTTTCTTTTCTTAGTTCCTCCATTTCTAACTTTTCTCTCTCTTTACGCGCCTTTTCTTCAACTCGTTCGCTGCGTAACCTCGACATTGCTCTGTTTGTTGCTGCTGTCTCTTTCTTCTTCATCTGTTCACGTAAGCTTTTCTCTGACATTTCCTTCTCAGTAAGAGCTTTGGTCAAAGTTCTTGCATTTTCATGGAGGCCACTTTCGTATAGTTGAAGGATTAGTCTATGAACTTCACTATCACTCTCAAGTTTCTTGATTTCCATGTGAGGAAGTGCATTTTTCTTTTTGAAAATTTTCTTCTTGTCAACCTTTTTGGTACTCTTTTGGCGCCTAGTGCGAGCGCGGTCCAAGTCTGCGTTAATTTTCCTGATGTTTGCCATCTCCAAGGCCTTTTCTTTATCCATTTCAGCATCTGCCAAAGTCTGTCGATCTGTTGTATCTTTCTCCACCTTCCTACTCTCTTTCCTTTTTGCGCGCTTCTTGAGTGTCTTAGCGTGTTCCTCTTCTGCTGCTCGTTCTAGTGTCTCTGTAGTGTTTTCATCTACCTCGATACGAGTGTTCAAAATAGAAATCCTCGCTTCTTCAAGGTAACTTTGGAATATCATCTTAATTTGTTTATTTCTGTCATGAGCCTCAACACAGATCTTCTTGAATTCATGAACCAACTGGCTTTTAACTTTCCTCTCAATCTCCATCTCTTCCTCAGCTGTTAAATTAACATTACTAAATTCGAAACATTTATCATCTTTACTAGTGACACGTTCTTTAATTTCCAAGTCATTTTCCAGCGTTAGTTCTTCCAGAGCAAAATCAATGTCGTCCAGCCAATCTGCACCCACAACCGACCCAGCCGCGGAGAAGCCATCAATAGTAGACAATCCCCTGATAGAGCTGTTGCTAGAATAAGATGGCTTATCTTCCTTTGGAGTGAATGGAGGGAGTCCACATTGATTCAAGCTTGTACTATCGCATTCGAAAGGTGATGAAAAACTAACCGCATTCTTTCGCTTTGGTTTAGGTAAATCTTGACCAGACATAATTTGATAGGGAAAACGATATTCATAAATCGAATTATTATGGTCGTAAGCTGAACACTTTATCGTTATCAATTTCGCTTGGTATAAATTAGAAGTGTTTAAGAAGAGTTTCATCAGTCGATAGGAAAATTCAATCCATATAGGTGAGGATATTTGTCAAAGTTTCTCTTGCAGTAAACGTTCGGCTTTTACTACCGTAAGCCGAGTAAAGATAAATGAATACGCGTGCACACTGATTAAAATAAGAATTGTAGAATTTGCCGAAAAGATCTAGGCTGAAAACGTTTCATTTTGTAAAAATTTGCTTCAGAAAATATATTCAATATTCTTCGAGCACTCTAGAATATTTCAAAGAACACTATATATACTAATTAATGAATCTCTTCATCAATCAGCACACATCAGGTCTTGTTGGTATATGATACATATGTATCGCCTAAACGGTTGATGAGATCTCTATCAATATGACTAATTAATATTAAAGTTAACGCCATTTCCTATTTCTTGGATTTTCCATTTTTTCTATTCCGTTTTACAATGCAGTTTCTTTCCGTCGTCGCATCATACGTTTACAGTATTACATCAAAATTTTGCTAAAGTATTACAAACTTGAAACTATCTCTCATATCCTCTATATTTTCCCCAATTCATTACCTATTATTTTAGCATACGTACTATGAATGACCTGTCAAAGTAATATTTAATTACCAAGGAATGAAAATGAAGATCTCCCATCATAGAAAATTAATCAAAGAAAAAATGTGACGTCCCTAAAGATGCTAGAATTTTTTGATTAGGTATAACTTGATTATGTACTGTTATCTAGACTTCCGAATATTCACCAAAACAATGTCTTTAAACCTCTTTAATTTCAATTCTTTATCTTGATAACCTTATAATCTGAGGATTTCCACCAAACAACCCTTCCAGGCTGTACGACATCTATCTGAATGATTTATTTGCTGATAACAGCCGGATCTCGTTAAGATTGCCTGCTGACAGTCTTTTTATGATAAGAGAAAAAATATTGTATAGGCTGATTATCTATCGCGACGTTTGTATATCTAAGCGGTTTTCGTATTATGTGGGAAGCGTACGACACTGACTTACAACACTGACGCACACGGTTTGGTATGCTGTAACACATATGCTGTAACACAGGAATGGCTTCCCAAAAATGGTTATAGTACGAGTGGGAAACGTACAGAACTGACTTAGTGCACGTAAACGGTCCAACATGCCGTAATATTGTAATGGCTTCCCATAAGAATGGTTATCGTATGAATGGGAAACATACGGTACAGACTTACCGCACGTACACGGCACGTCATGCTGTAACATTGTAATAGCTTGGAAAAAGAAGATTAACGAGAATTGAAATTACGTAAGAATTAAAATTTATTTAACAGCAATGAGACTATATGACATCACATGAATACCAAAAATATGATCTCAAAACTTGRAGAACTACGAAATCTTTTAGGTAGCTTGTCAGTATACTCCCCCCACCCTCCCTTCCCCAGGACATATTAACTCCCTTATGTCCACTTATTCTACTTTCTGTTTTCATGACAACAAGTATCTTTTTAAATTTAAATTTTCAAATCATGAATACCTTCTAGGTCTTTATTCAATGAAACGTTCTAGAAGTATTTTATTTTATTTATTTACATTCATATTTTAACAGGAAGCTTCTTCACTTATAAATGTGATTTTCAAGAAGGTCCTGATAAATAAGATATTTTTACAATAATATGCAAAAAGAGAATTTGGAGGTTGAATATCGAAACCAGCTCGTTACTGAAAAGTCAACATTATTATTACTAGTATGTAAAATTGTAAAAGATGAAAAGTTCAGTATCATTTTAGATTTTAGATTTTAGATTTCTGATATTGTTAAATAATACCAAATGCACCAAAATCCAGAAATAGAAAAATATTTAACGAACTAGGAAGACCATTGCAGTTATAGCACTGGAATATAAAATATGTAATAAGAAATTCGTTTTCCTTATAAATTTTTTCAAGCATTTACCAAGTCAAATATCTTAATATATTCCCTGGTATAATCTACTCGAGTGATATGCATCGTTTGTTTACATGGCAATGCCTTTTGTCCATAATATTCGGAGACCTATAGCTAAATCTAATCTTTATAGCAAGATTACAATGAAACTATGAAGTTATTTTCTTGTTTTCATCCTCTTAGAGTACCATTATTGATGATTTTGAATAAAGGAGGTGGGCCTCGCATTTTATCCCTGACTCCAGGTCGTCCAAGTCTCACGCTTCGATCAAACTCATCCCTAGCAACCTTGCCCGTGTGTTGTATATGATCCAGATGAAGTTGTCTGTGGCCTTCAACATCTACAATATTCTCATGCTGGTTGTGTAAGACACTGATCTGCTGATTTCTAGTGAATCTCATGCGATCTCCATGATCTGGGAGGTTGTTCATTGTGTGTTCCTTCGGCCAGTGAATGTAGCGAAAGCGTTCCTCCATTCGACGCGTCTCTTCAGAATTCGGGTACATTTGGCTTCGATTGAGAGAGTAGTTCGTCCTCACATACGGCGGAGGCTCCTGCAATCTTTTATAGTCCTTGATCTTGTAGTTATGCTCCATTTGATTCATTTTCGGGCTTTTCTTTTACAATTTTTTTTAAAGCTGATAAATTTCGATGTTGTGTTTGTGTAGCAACAAGAATCTTCCCGCGAAAGACTGGAAATTAGCTTCACCGGCGGGATTCCCGCGAGTTTCCCGAAAAAGTTTTACAAAGGTAGCCCAAAATAGATTACATCTCAAACTTCACAAATTTTCAAAAATTATGTTACTATGCCGCTATATAAAACCTAATATTGCTTATAAAAGTCATTTTAAGGAAACTGAGAGCTCTGAATACTGAATTAGATTTTTTTAAATAAACGGAAGCTTTTCAAAATTAAACACATAGCGCGGGAGTCCTGTGGATGATTCAAGTCAAGATGGCGGACGACACGAAGGACGGAGGTTTCAAGGTAGACATTGATTTGTACGAGAAAGGACGACCAAAGTACACTAAAGAGAGTGTAGAATACCTTTTAAAGCAAGTAGGAGTATTAGGCAAGGATAATGATAGCGCTTTGACAATCTTGGAACTTGGTGCCGGCACAGGAATGTTCACAAAAGTATTGGTGGAGGCTTTGAAAGGATTCCCCAAGATTCGTATCATCGCGAGTGATCCACAACTTTTGATGTTAGAGAAGCTCAAGAAAAACATACCAGGGATCGAAGCAATGCAGTTCCTAGCGGAAAAGATTCCCTTTCCAGACGAGAGTATTGATATCGTAATTGCAGCTCAATGCTTCCATTGGTTTGCAAATGCACAATCAGTGGCAGAAATACACCGTGTACTGGTCCCTAGGGGGACTTTTGGTATGATATGGAATTCAAGAAATCAGGGGGTAGACTGGGTTGTCAAAACACAAAAAATCATTGCACCATATTTAAGGCGTGATAACAACCCTAACAACCTGGATAACACTTGGATGGAGCCAATAAAGAGTAGTCAACTATTTGGAGAATTACAAGGGAATAATGACCTCTGCCTGGACCATGAGGGTAGTGCTGACAATATAATTAATACAATCATGTGCATAAGCTCAATTACTAAGTGTACAGATGAAGAGAAGAAAGATATCAAGTCCAAAATCCTAGATGTTCTAACAAATCATCCAGATCTAAAAGGCCTTACTAAGTTTAAGCTACCTTACATAGTCCCAATATACTGGTGTACTAAGCGTTGATGTATACTGCTGCTGTTTCGATGGCAATGCCAATCATTTACAAATTCAAATCCATAACTGAAAAAACATTTTTTTTTGTAATTTGAAACCTTATTTTTTCAAGTCTTGAACCTGACTCTCACAGTAGTGGTGATGATGGTAATGATAACTGATGATAATTAATAATGATGATGATAATGGTGATGGTAATGATGGTAATAACCTTAGCTCATTGGTGTGATGATGATGATAATCAGAGCTTAAAATAATGGTAGGTCATTGGAAAATGTCTATCCAGAATTGGAACTTGTATAGTCAAATCTTATTCTTGTACCCAGACGCTTCTCATTGCCTTGCCAGTCATTTTGATCATTAACGTTGAGCCAGAAACGAGGTACGACTACTAAAACCAATTTAACTGGCCATTATTTTAAGCCCTGGTTATAATATATATGATAATTGTAGTGATGCCAATGACATTGATGTCCAATTCTATTAATTTAGGAAAATTAATGTAGTAGTTAATAACAGCTAAGTTTTAATGGTTGCATTCAAAAAATCCAATATTTTTTCCAATAATTATGTTGTTGCCAGAGATGGTACCAAATAAATGGGCCCTCAACCTCAGCTCTTTGGACTCTTAGGTTTGCATAAAACACTGGCCATAAATTTGGAAAGCATCTTACCTTCAGATTGAAGTCCTTTTTGCTAAGGGAATGAAGCAGTTTAAATACAATTCATAAGTAATTTTATTAGATTTTTATAAAGTATTTTTAAATTTTAATAATAACACTTTTATAGAAAAGATTACTATGCATCATGCATTTGATTCATAATTCAAATACAAATCTTTTTACAAGATATTCTCCATGCATTTCCTTATTTGTCTATTCACATTCATCATTATGTATTCTGAAGAAACCTGTCATCAGCATATCCAAAACGTCAAGACATGTTGTCTATTACATGTGTTTTTTGTAAAAATCTCATTAAGAGATTATAATTTCATGAGATATGCTCTATGTTACATTTTCAACTGTGTTTACTGAATCAATACATGTAAAGCGACTTATTGTTTTGAAATTTAGGATGCCAGTATGCAAGTCATTTCAACTATATACACTATCATGGCTGAGTTACCATGGCCCAAGGTTGAATCTTTAAAGAAGTTTTGTCATCATTATTGTCCCCAGAGACTTCTATCAAGAAACGTTTTTTGCAGTTGGTGGAGGCTGTATTGCGGGCTTTGCGAACGAGACAACATTATCTCATAATCCTTGTAAATATCTAGCCTTTACTTTCTTTAATCTATTTTTGTCATTTTTTTCAACTTGGGCAGTCTGAGGGGTTTTCAACTTAGGTAAGTACGAATAGGTAAATGATCTTGACATATCTGTAGCTAACAACGTGTAATTCAAACTTTCTTGTAGCTTGAGATTGTGTTCTCGTCGCTTCATCGCCTCTGCCTGCCGCTTTGCAATTTCCAATGCTTCCATTTCTTTTCTTTCTTGTTCAAGTCTTTCCTTCTTAGCCATTTTTTTCCTCTTTTCTTCCTGGCGAATTCTCGCAAGCTCCTCTGATTTTTGCTTCTTTGCGAGCTGAGCTGCAAGCTTTCTTTCTTGGTTTAGTTCATCTCGAAGTTTGGCTTCGTATTCATCTTTACTTGCTATTGCCTGGGATAGTTTATCTGCGTACTCCATCATATTAAGGCTTCTCAGCTCAGAGATCATTTTGTCAACTTCATATCGCTCCAATCTTTCCCTGTCTTTTTTCTTTACAGAGTTGAGTTTCTTTGATGGCTGAGGATCTGTTGTCTTTGACAAGTTCTTCTTTTGCAGTGTCATCTTAGTTTGAATTTGCTTAACTTTTGCTCGATCGAAATCTGCCTCAGCTTTTCGTATCTCTTGAATAGAACTAGCTTCTGCACTCAAATCAGATATCGAAACATCTTTAAACGTTTTTCTGATGGGCAGAGCTGATGAAGAACTCGCCGCGTCCGCTAGGGTGGGTGTCGCGAACTTGGACGATGACTCCGCCTTCATGAAAGCTCTCTTTACTTTTATTTCTGTGTGTTTTTTCAGAGCTTCGTTGAATCGTTTTGTCGCTGTTTGTTCTTGAGCAGTAAGTCTCGCTTCAAACAAAATCTTCTTGGCTTCTGCAATTTTAAGGCGAAATTGTTTCTTAACGTCTTTCCGCTCTGCAAGATTTTGGCGCTCAAATTCTTGAAACGTGTTGACACGTTCGCCAGGTGGTTCTGTACTATTCGCCCTAAATGAAAATTCACTAGAGGAGGATTCATTAGACAAACTGGGAAAATTATAACTTGGTGACTTCACAGCATCGTCACGAAGTGTGTCTAGGTCATCCACGACGCTGGGTAGTAAATAGTCTTCCTCATCTTTTTTACTCTCAGTTACATGAGTCGTTTCTTCGGAATTTCGAAGCCCTCTTTTCCCAGTTGCACTTCTCTTACCAAGTATGTTTTGACTTTCATTTCCCTTGACTTGCGATTCTGATTTATTTTGAGTTTTCCATTGATTAAAACTACCTTTATCAATATCTTTTTTAGATATGGCTTTCATGGCTTTCCCTTTAAACCTTCCAGTTTCAGATTTGTGGGCCTCTTTGGGTATCGACAGTCTATGCCCATCGATCTTTCTTGTTTTATTCTCTTCTAAGTCATTCACTTGATTTTTATTGATAGGAGATTCGGTATCTGCAACCTCGTCAAAGTGTAACTCGGGTACATGCAGTATATTCACCTCACACTTGATATTCTTGCAATGAGTAATCAATGATGGAAAACTGTCATCTGTTTCAGTCAATGAAAGTTTTCCAATGGATTTGAGCTTCGAAAACAACATATCTTCTTCATTTTGATCTTTATCACCGACTCCAAAGCGAGTATCGTTAGAAAAATCACTAAACGAAGGACTCGAAGACTTGCCATCATTATCGACGAAATCTTTTTTGCTAGTTGCCAAATGTTTTGGATCATGTTGACGACGGGAAACTTCGTTTAACTTGGCTTTCTTTCCTGAATGAACTGGACCTATTTTGCCAGTCCCTGCAGACTTCATTTTCTTGCTTCTCTTAGTTTCCATGTTGCCGATGACTGCTTCTTCTTGGTATCCAGCCTTCCCTTCTAGCAAGTAGATATCAAAATATTCTTCATTCGTTTTAGAATGTTGGCGTTTCGTTTCCTCTAGGTTGGTCTCGTCACTAAGCCTATTCGAGCTTAAGCATTTTTCTTTCTGAAGACCTGTCATTATTTCTTCTTGTCCCATTGATCCAAAATCGTCACCAAGGTGATTCGTTGTGAATTCCTTTACATCGAGTGTGTTTCTTTTATCATTTCCTAGATCGTTGTAAACCGTTTTCTCAAAATCTGGTTGGGATTTGGAAAAAATCTGTTGCGTTTTCCCGGCATCTTCAAAAAAGTTCAAGTAAGAGTTCGTTGCATAGCCGTTTTCATTGAAGTTGTTGATATGACTCATATTTGTCGTAAGAATTCTCGAAACCCCACGAATGCTGAAATCATCAAAGCTTTCCTCGCCTTACGATAATCCTATTTCAAATTTTAACACGAATTCCACTAACATCATGAAATAATTCTCAAACTGTTTTGAGATCAGTGATTGTTTACATTGCAATTGATACAGTACCTAAAAAACCCCGAACAAAGTTATGCGCACTCAGATACGATCAGTTTTTGATTTCTGTTTGTATTCTCGTGCGAAACAACTGAAGAAGACTGACTGTGTTTCCCTCGAAAATTGGAAATAATATAGAGGGAAAATTAGGGGATGGATTCTTTTGTATCCCGGATACGAGCCAAGTTGAGAGATCACAATAAAATCACCTATTCAAGTAAAATTTGTTATTTTACTGGAAGTTTCTGTTGAAATTTTTTCCTAAGATCTCATTTGCTGAAACGTTTTCTGCGGTTGTTGAATGTTGGATATTCACACATTAAATCCATACAATCTCGACACAGTTTCGCTAAATAGGAATTAATATTAATTATGAAATATTAATTAAATAGGAAMAGGAATAGGTGTCAAATATGGCTCGCTTGAGATCAATTTTTAACGTAAATGAAAACTAGCATCAAGTCAGACAAATGACCAGTTCGAAATAACTATTTGGTATCGCAGTATCGCTATAGAATATGTTTATGGAATGAAACTTCAAGTAAACTTGAAGAAAAAATACGAGGGAAAAAAAGAAGAAAACTGAGAAAGAAGAACTGGAAAAAATTTTGCAAAAAGAAACTAAAAAAATGAAAACAAATACACAAAAAACACAACTAGAACACTACGAAATAATAATTTTAAAAAATAAAATAAAATGGCAGAGACAAAACCTTCGAACTGATATAGATACAATGATACACATCATTTACGAGGTATTTAGCCAATAAACTATTTGTTTACCAAGAAGATGCAATTTATCTTCAGAAGAACACATTAATTACAAATATTTTGGTTGCTTTGATGGTGTTAATTGAATATTTTGTGGTAACATTTAGTTCAGGGAAATAGTGATGTAACTACGAAACACAAACGATTCAATTCATTCTTTTTTAACTGGAGGCGGATTTTGTAATGAAAAACTAAGCTCTAATTATTCTTGAATTTTTTAGGAATTAGCGGTTTGTCTCAAATGAAACAAAAAACAAAACACACACACACACACACACACACGAAATCGTTACTCTTGATTGACCCAAAAATAAAATTTTTTAAAGTTTGCGCGCCATCGATCCGCGCAATCCGGTCAGTCATACCTCTGGGGGGAGGGGTAAGGAGAAATAGTTCAGGGGAGGTTACATCGATTCAGTCGAGGAAGAACCACGAGCCAAAAAATGTTTGCACGAAGGTCTCTTTTGCAGGCAAGTTTGTCGAAATATTCCAACGAAATAGCTAGGGATTGCTAAACTAGAGCAGTACGAGTAATATTTAACCCGTTCTAGTGTGTTTTGTTGGGCAGATTCAGCGAATGGTCGCGAGATGTGAAGGTCCTGTTGGGGATTTGCAGCGTGGAGGAAAATGTGAGTAAAGCAAAATGATTCCACTTTAAACATCATCAAAATATCATTACTGACTATACACTAAACATTCTAGCCAAAATATTATCTCTAAAGCATACAACTTCGCGTACAAAGTTAATTTATAATATTTACCCGATGTACGCGGTTGTTGATCACATTTTCTTCTGAATCCTCTTGTTTCTGTGTTCAAAATGCCTTGGTTCTCAAAGAAGATTGCCCAATATTTCTTTGGAATTTGACTTCCTTGTTCTTTTGAGGCCACTGAGAGATAATCATGGGTAAATCAAGCTACCGCATGAGGGGAAATAGTGATCAACCGTCGCGATGGTGGTTACTTGATACCTGTGATGATTGCGAACTCAAAAAGCGCGCCAAAAGTCTTCGGCGCACGCAATTTGATAACAATCAAAATATCGGCCTCAGGTTACGCGACGGTAGAGCTCGATTCTTGTAAATGGATTCAGCTGGCAAGGGGGGAAGGGGGTAGACCCCTTTTTTGCGAGGGAGGTTTTTTTGGTAAAATTATGCAGCTTCACACCCTACTTTCCTCCCCTAAGAATTTCCTTGATGCATCATGATTTTCACTAAGCATTAAAAAAAATTTTATTTGCTTATGCTTAGCCTGCACAGCGGCACTTTGAAGAGGGGAGGGAGAAGAGAAGGAAGGGGATTGGGGACTCCCCTCCTCTTCCTTCTCCCCTCCCCCTTCCCAATGAGCAGCTACACAGGCTAGCTTATGCTATGCTGTTATCTATAACTTATTTTAAAAAGACCCTGATGATGTCACATTGCATAATTGACAACTTACATGTTGATTTTTATGGAGGGACGTAAACTTGAGAACCTGAAAAAGAACTGCTGTGGCAAAGGATGATCAGATGAACTGAAAAACAAACTCAACTAACTTACAATCCCAGACAGAGTGAAACACACATTCCACTAATGTTGGCCAATATTTYGTAGCATTTTGATTTAAACAGTAGTGATGTAATTGGTTCCACATTGTTTCATACCTAGGCCAATTGAAAATGTTCTCCAATAAATTGTATTAGGGAAGCACTGGTGGCATAGTGGCGAGAGCGCTCGGCTCTCACTAATGCGACCCAGGTTTGAGTACTCATATTTGAGTAGAGTTGCTTGTTGGTTCTCTCCTGTGCTTCAGGGGTTTTGTACAGTTTGTAAAAATCAATTTTTTAATTTCAATTGGAATCCAGTGGATGAATAGCTACTCTGTGGAATCCTCTGTTAAACACCATTTTCTATTTTTTATTTATGTATACCTTCATAAATAAAGTCTATTATTATCATAATACTATTATTACTAAAGCCGTCTCTGATTTTGACACACAATTATGTAACATTTAGCTATGATAAAATAATAAAGACATTTTATCTACAGGTTTAAACAGTGTACAGCTTATTGGGTACACTGGTGGTGACCCAGTGCGAGGAGGAACAGAAACACACCCATTGACTAGATTCAGTTTGGCAACTACAAAATACTATCCTACGAGGGATGGTGAGTTCATGACTAATTTTAAAGTGCTACTCTGATGAAAATAGCTCAAATTTGGATTCAGCTGAAACTTCCTAAGAATACTCTTTAAAGGTCCAATAATCACTGTATGAAGTGTTTTCTCAATATTCAGGACGAAAGTATGATATTTTTACGATTATTTTTTGGAGTCTGTGACG